GCGGAGGTTGATAAAGTCACTACCCCCAAGAATTTGGTATCCTGGAAAGAAAAAGTGGGTAGCATGCAATTCAGTACCAGTCCATTCACCTCACTCTGTCATTCTCACTACAGAAATGCCAGTGCCTCACTGAACAGAAACAAGTATTGGGGGATACATTTCTTTATTCACCTAACAAAGGCTGCAGTACACATAGGGAAATTCGAAAACCCGGGAGGAGGAGGCAAGCAGAGTCTGATATATTAAGTTAACACTGTCAGAAAAGCTGAGCTTTTGATGATTTCCTGCTTGAGACAAAATTTTGAAGAAAGGCTTTTTAGGCAAACTTGTCTAAAATGTCCTTAAAGTATTCTAAAGCAAATAAAATAGAAAAATCCACTCACCCAGGAGTTAAGAAATCTTATCGTTCTCAAAATGTTCAATGATAAATGATTTTTATAGGCATAAAATTAAATTGAAAGTGCCACTGGACAAATTGGTTTATGACCATATCCTTTCATTGTAAACTTGAGGTTTAGGCAAGCTGGTCCCTGCGTGACTAGATGTTAGGCTAATTACCTTGCAGTAACTTGGTTTCTTGTACATTGATCTTTCATTTTTTACATGTTGAGTACATTGAAATGGACCCTGGAGACCTTGATGATGGATGACTTCAGGATGGACATTTGCCCAGGGGCTGGATGGAACAGATGCATCCCCATCATTGAGCTCTGGAATACCCCAGACTGGGGTAGCATCATACTCCATGCAATTTAGCACCCAGAATGAGTGATTCTCAACTCCCCGTGTATAGCAAGCACCTGGGAAGCCTTTAAAATCCAAACACCTGGCCCAGAGATTCTGACTCCGTGGGTCAGATGAAGTCTAGGAACAGAAACTCCTAGCGAACACCAGGGAATGGTTATAAGTGGTCCTTGAACTCTGATCTAAGGATTAGCACCATTTTTATTTGTTTCCAGAGAAAAGGACATGAGTAAGAGTCTAAGAGTAGTTTTTAAGTATGATTTTTTAAACATATAAAGCTGAACCCCATCCCCATCCTAGGTAGGATCCCTGAGCGGGGTTGTGGGTGGTCTGCATCAGAATGATCTTAATGTGCCCCTGCAACTGACAGTCATGGGGCTGCCAGAACTCTGGGTCGTGGAGTCCAGCGCCTCACCATTGCTCTGGCCGGGCACCCTTTGGAGAATGCTGACATGCATGTGGGTAGAGCCATCCACAAGCCAGCAGAAAAGACAAGGAGCTGGTGGGAACCAGCACAAAATCAAGCAAAATTAAATGGGGGTGTTGACCATCAGATCAGAGTTTCAGGCATTCAGGGGAGGAAAGGCTGCAAGGGGAAAGCTGGGTCTTCTGTTGTGCTTTGGAGAGTGAATGCAGTTTTGATTATCAGGCAAGAGCAGGGACAGCATTTCAGAACGTGGGGACTACAGGCCCTGAGGGGATGTGCGTGGTTATTGGGAAACCCAGGGTGAAAGCTAGCCTGACCAGAGAGGCCAAGGAGATGTAGGAGCTGGACAGGAGTGGCCAAGAGTTACACTGGGACTTACAGCATTGACTGGAGCAAGGAGCCATTGTGCGACCTCTTGCATTACCTTTGCTTTACAGGGATGACTGATACCAGGCAGGAATGGATGAGAGGGCTGGGACCCTTTTATTTGCATAAAATAGGAGATGAAGTCCCAGGCTAGTGTCACGGTCAGTGGGGCAGAGAACACAGAAGTTTACAAGGGACAGAAAGATAAAGAGATAGACAGAAATTCAGAATAACTGATCTTGTACGGCTGGCTTCAAATCCTCTCTTTGGATCTGTCATAAGGCAAGACTAGGTATTAAGATGTCATAAAGATGTAAAAAATAGGCACTGCCAAGTTTCTGAAGATCTGAGCTGCCTAGGCGCACCCAGGTCATCCACAATGCTGGGGAAAGATGGGGACTGGAAGCCGACGATGCCACCTAGTTTTAACCTTTTCCTTAATTTCCTCCCTTTTCACCAAATCCACTGAGCCAAAAGTTATTTTAAATGATTCACTCACGTTGTCTTTCCCTATTTAATTTATGCTCATGTGTAATGAAACACCCAGGAGGAAGATGCAGGCTGATGAGAGGGAGAATAGGTTCTCAAAGTAGCCGCTCTTTGCTGGGACAACAAGAGTAACCATCTCCACTAATTTGGTCCCACTGGTCATTTCCTTCTTGCCAGTTTCAATAGAATTCCTAGCATACATGTGGCTGTTTTCCAGTGATGAACCCAAGTAAGTTCTGCTGTGGAAGTATGAGAAGTAACTCTGGAGGAGCGAGTGCAGGAAATCAGAGCTTAACACAGTGGGCTGAACCTCTGTAATCACTGTGCCTTCCTGGGCAGACAGTTCCCAGCTGCCCTCCTGGCTCTGCTTTCTCCTGCCCAAGCATATTAGCACCTGCCTGCCTTAGACACACACCTAGACCCACAAAGGATGGAATCACGGGCTAAGGGTCCCTGAGGAAAAAACGGTAACACTTCCAGACACATTGGTAGGTTTGTGCTAAAACTTCCAAGAGCCACAGGAATGCCTCCTTTAGGAAAAGGAACAGGACAGAGGTGGTGAGTTTCTGCATCTCAGCCACTTTGGAATTAGCACCACTGTGCATGGGGGAGGGTACCGAACAGGATGAGCCTTCCGGGGAGAGTGTGAGAGAGCCTTGTGGTTGTGATGGGCTCACATTCTGGTGTCAGGGAGCCATCCTGCCAGGCCCCCTGGAGCTATTAGGCTTTTCTGTACCTCAGTGGTAAGGTCAGCAGTTTAGTGTCCGTACAGCCACAGCTGCGTGATCCCAGAACTCGGGCCCATTTTATGTTCATGTCTGCCTCCTAGACTGTTTCCCACTGGGGAAGGTGTGAATTCATCCCTCACAAGAGCATCACAGTTTCAGCTTGTTCTGTAAACATGTCTTGAACCTCTGACTCTGTGTGAGCTGGGCACCTGGTCAAGATGCTAAGGGTATAATGACGAATTATTTACCGTCTTTGTTCTCCAGAGGAGACAGCTAGGTAAACCAGACACACAGTTCAGTGCCTTCAGAGTCCGGTGCCATCATCTGTGAAACTGAGATAATAGTGGTGTCCACGTCACAGGCTTGTGAGGATTCCTCTGGTTAGACGTGAACAGCACTGAGAACCACCTCTGGCATGTAATAAGCCTGATGTAAGTGACAAACTGGTGATGAACTGACATTGTTGGCACTGACATACCGCATCGCATGCCCACGGTAGGTCCAGCAGGTGCAGAATGGGAGAAGTGAAGTAATGATCAAGGAAAATTTTTCAGGAGAGGTCATTTTTGAACTGGGTCTTGAAGGAAGAAGACAGCAGAGAAAAACTTCCAATTTGAGGGGAAAGTAGCAAAAGCCAAGGGTATGGAAATACCAGGTGGTAGGGGGAACTCAGCATTTCGGGAGTGAGGGTGGAAGCCTGTGGGTCGTGGTGAGAAAAAGGCCCAGTCCAAAGGGGAGAGGCACTTTGAGGGCTTGCCTCAGTTTCCCTGTGAAAGAAGGGAGGTGATCACTGAGGGCGGGGAGCCAGGGAAGACGCGACAGCCCGGGTGGGGAATGTGAGGGACAAAGGCCACCCGGTGGGACGGAGCTGAGGATGGAGACTACGTTTTGGGGTGAGCAAATAAGTAAAATCCACGGGAGAAAAGTAGTACATGTTGTAGGAGAGATTCTGATCAGAAGTTAGATGGGAGAGGTTACTTCCAACTGGAAGAGGCAGAGCAGACTTCATAGAGATGCAATATGAACATGGAGGCAGGAGCTGAACAGCAGAGAGACTGCGGAAACTTGACTGATGTGTCAGGAAGTGGAGGTTTATTTCTAGGCCATTGGTACGTTTTAAACTGAGGAGCGACGTGATCAGATGTGTAGTCTAGGAATGTCTTTTTGGCAGGACTGTTACAGTTAAACTGCCACATTCAAAGCAGACCAAGAGTTGGAGAGAAATCTAAGGCCTCAAAGACCAAGAGTAGAACCCCACAGTGTTCCCCAACACGAGCACCAGGTGTGAAGTTGAACATGCTCGCCCCCCTCACACATGTGCCAGTCCACCGTCCCCCTGCCCCTCCCCTGCTGCCCTTCCTGGCCACCTTTTCCCAGGGAGCCTGCAACCCACAGGATTCAGCCCCACCCCCACCAGTACTACATGATGCCCAAGAATATGGGGTACCACAGGGTCACCCCTAAGATGCCCTGAGGGCTGGTCTAACCCTAAACTTTCCTTAATTTGGGGCATCTCTGGAAAGCTTCAGTGCTGCTGTTATGAACCAGTGGGTTGGTGTGGGCCAGTTCCACCAGGCCCCCGGAGTGCCTGGTGGAGCCTTGCCACAGTTTGAACAGCCCACCATGGATGCCACATGAGTGCGTGGGCCAGTCCAACCAGCATGCCCACAGCTCACCGCCATATGGAGCCCCCGAGCCCTCCATGTGACAACAGATCCTCACAGAACATCCCCAAGGGTGTGGAGACCATCTCTGGGTTACAGATGAGGAAATGAAGGTTGGCAACGTTAAATTCACTTGTGGAGGGTACACTGTTAGTGAACTTGAACCTAGGCTGACCTAATCTCCTGCCTGTTTGAAAGAATATGTTCACACTGTGATGGCCAAGTGTAGTCATCATGGCACATCGTAGCAAAGTCTCTTTGAAGGTCTGTGGGTTTCCCTGAGCAAAAGAGTGCATTGCACTTGTTCGCCGCCTTCTGCTGCTGTGAGCCTCAGCCTGACCACTGTGTGACAGACAGCACCAATGCCTGAATCCCTGAGGGCTGTGGGTCAGCATACTTTAGGCAGGAAACGAGAGATGGTGGGTACTTGCTGAATAGCACTCACCTTGCTGGTGTCTTCACTGGGTGCATTTTATCTCAGGGCCCCTCAATGGCCACGGCCCCATGGTGGCCACGTGCCGTGTCCTGGGGTTCTTCCAGTGCCCCAGACTCACATCTACCTCTCCCCTCCTTCTGCCACAGATCCTGGTGCCCCTGTGAAATTGCCTTGTCTGCCAGTGAAACTGTCGCCTCCGCTACCTCCAAAGAAAGTCATGATCTGTATGCCTGTAGGGGGGCCAGACCTCTCCCTGGCATCCTACGCAGCCCAGAAGAGTGGCCAGCAGGGTGGGGCCCAGCACCACCACACAGTCCTACCATCCCAGATCCAGCACCAGCTGCAATACGGCAGCCTCAGCCAGCATCTCCCCTCCACCACCGGCTCCCTCCCCATGCACCCGTCGGGCTGCAGGATGATAGACGAGCTGAACAAAACACTGGCCATGACCATGCAGAGGCTGGAAAGGTAATGGGGTGGGGGTGAGGGCTGGAGGGGAGGCCCTGGCTGGGGAGGGGGAAGAAGAAGGTCTGGGGGTTTGATCAGGATAGAGGGATGTGAAGACCAGGGCACAGCTTATGCCCCTGGGGCGAAGGGGCGGAACACCAAAATCTGAATGTCAAGGAAAGTGTGGAAATAAAAAACAATGTTGCTGACTGCCCACCTAGAAAGCAATCACATTTATCGAAAGGGAAAAGTAACACCTATGCTAGCACACACTGAATTTCTGTAAACCTTAACCTTTTTTTGGAAGCAGACACACATAATCATGAATAGTGGGGAGATGGGGAGAAAAATCTTTTGATTTTCTATTTCATGTCTTTCTGTACTGTTTAGTTTTTTTATTTTATAGATGTTTCTTTTGTGACATAAAAATGCCCATTTGAATGTAAAATCAGAAAAGATGAGAGCTGGCAGACCAGTGGTGGAGAACTGGAGAGATGGGAAAAGTGGAGAGGTGTGCCCTGGTTCTTGCTCATGGACGAGGCAGAGCACTATCATCCGCTCAGATGTGTGGGAGCCTCTAATATTTAACAACGGGAGCAGCCCCCTCTTACACTAGACTCTGCTCCCAACAGCATTGCCAGGAGATCTGCCAAGAAAACCCCGAGGGCGGGCCTGCAGCACGGACCCTGCCTCCCCATTGCCGGGACAGCGCTCACGCTGGTTCTGAGTAGCTCTGATGTGTGTGTGTGCGCATGTGTGTCTTCAAATACCACCCTTCCTGTGCCTAAGAGATGGCTGAAATTCCCCACTATGACTCCAAGGCATGTTCCTTGACCTAGTGCCCTGGCATGGACAGAAAAAATTGGTGATCTGGCATGAAGGGACTTTTAGTGGCTGTCCCAGGTAAGTGACCTCTGTCGACTGGGTCCTACAGATGGGAAATTGCACTGTGGGGTCTCAGCCAGTTGCCAGGCAGAGACCCAGAGGCAAGGCGGACACTGTTGGGAGCTTTCTGTTGCAGTTTCCCCACTCTCAGTGTCTTTCTCCCTTCCTCCCACTCCACCGCGCATCTGTGCTCGGGGAAACCTATGACTTGGAGGGAAGCGGCTGCTGCGAGTAAGTCTGACTTGATTGTGCCACATTAACAGCTGCCTTCGCAGTAGAAGAGAAATGTACTCGGCCCCTTGTCATCATTTTCAACTACTGTTGTTGTTGTTAATGAGGACAATAATAATTTAAAATTTTGACGGCACTTTTTAGTTGATCGCACACTTTTGTTATCATCTTAATCCTCACCCCACCGTGGGAGACCACGTGCAGAAACTGAGGAAGGCTGAGTCCCCCAGTGCCAGCTACTCAGAGAGGGGGCCACCAACTGCTTGGTGCCCATCTGCAACCAGGTACAGAAATTGAGAACAAGGCTCTGCACACTTTTATAGCAATTTGACAGACTAATTTTGTCGAATCTTATAATAAAAAATTTTCTTTTTTTATATTTATATTTTTACAAAAACATCTATTTGTGAAGGGCTGAAAATTATAATATGTAAATCAACCACCCACCAACAGAACTGGTCCCTCCCATCGACATTTTGGGAAGCACTGCCCTAGGTAGCAGCTCCAGAGGCCGCACCTTCCAGCCTGGGTCTTCCGGCTGCAAACCCAGAACTCTCTGTTCCAGTGCAACTGCTTTCCTAAAGGCCTAACAGTCAATGCAATTTCCTGTCCCTGTGTCTGCTGTGTAAGTTTTTGTATCTCTCAGGAGCTTCACTCAATTGAAAAAGATACTCATGACAGTGTACTAGGAGGATATTGCTAAATACATTTCCACTTAACACATGCCATTTGAAAAGGTTCATTTGGAAGTATTAAGCAACAAGTTACACTGTGTTTCTCAGTTCAGTAATTTCTGTGTATTTGTAGAACTTCAGTTGACTATAGACTAATGGGTACGTCTTGACATAAACTGAGTCAGATTCTTCATCAAAATGAATCCCAGCGAACAAATGTGGGGTGGCGGGAGAGCAGACACTATGGGAGGTAGGGGTGAGCAGGAGGACGGTATGAACTTGGCAGCTGAGCCAAAGCAGTCCCCAGGCTCTTCTCACCTCCTCTGTCTCCCTCCCTCCCATCCCAGGTCAAGGCCCAGGGTTGTTCTGATAGACCGGCCAGGACATAGGGAATTAATGCATAGATCACTTGGAGAAGCTTGCCCTTCAGAGAAAGAGAGGCTTTCCTCCCAAACAGTTAAAGGTTGAGAGATTTTTCTGAGCATCCACACTGTCTTCCAGGACTCCTGGCAGAATCTGGGAATGGAACAAGGTCTCAGGCCACTTGTCACTTTAGTGCAGGAACTGCCACTGACTCCAGTGATGTCATTCTTCTTTTATTTTCTAAAACTCCTCCCTGTTGTTCTCACTAAGTTTAATACAGAAGGAAACAATTATTTTTCTCTCTTCTCCTGGCAATTTCCAGTGACCCCCCCCCCACCAAAAAAAAATAAACACTGCAAGAAGAAAGAAACATGACCGAGCACTTAGGAATTGTGCCCACGAAGACCCTGAGTCTCACGGAATGTCACCTGCAGGGTACTGGCCCAGACCTGCAGTCTGCTGCTGATGAAACATGGAGGTTCACATGAGAATTGAGTGAAGAATTAAACAGCTCTAATGTCTGGCTTTGGACCATAGTTTGAATAGTCATATTATAGTTAAAAGGGACCTTGGAGACCATCCAGGCAAGCAGCCCCCGCCCATTGCAGTGTTCCTGACTATTTGTCCTCTCATCTCCTTGAGAAAGGGAACCTCTCCATGTCCCAACTTAGCCCACCGCATTATTAGCAAGGTCTGATTATTACAAAATTCTTTTTTATATTAAGCTGAAAGTTTTACTTATTATAAACCCCAACCTTATTTCTAATCTTCTTTTACTGTGAAGGCCTTCAAATCTTTGAAAATAGCTTACTTTATCTGTCTTCCTTCTTCTATACTAATCATTCCAAATTTATGTAATCATTTACTGAGGTGGTTTCTAGACCTTTTACCATCTTTTTTATGTTCTTCCAGATTATTCTAAATCTGTTCTCATTTATATGATGTTCTTAGTAATTACCCTAACCTGAGCCCTGCTTGATGACACTAAAAAAATAGCATGTGGTTAGATAGTTGCAACATTGGCTCACCAGATCTGGTGGGAGGGGTGCGGCGGAGAGAACCAGAGACCAGAGGAAGCAAACTTGAAGAGTTCCATGTTTATCCAAAGCCACAGGGCTGCCCTAGGCAGCGTGGCCAAGCTGGAGGCACCCCCCTGTCATGGCTGAGCACATGGGTTCCAGAATCCAGCTGCCAGGGTTTCAACCTAAGAGATACCACTTTTTCATGCCTTTGATTCCTCATGTGTAAAACAGGAGTATTAATAACACCACCACCCTCACTAGAGTTGTTTGTGAAGAAAATCACTCATCTTGTTGGATGGCATAAAAGTAAGTGTCCAATAATTGGTGGTGGATGTTAAGCAACATTATATAACACACAAAATTTGCCTTCAGTTCCCCTAAAAGGCAAGTTGTGAATAGGTCTGATCTTATTTTGTTGTAGATTGTTTGGATGTGTCCATTTCCTCAACTAGTTGTTTTGGTTAGTTTTCTCTCCACCAATGATGATTCATATCTTTTTTGAAGGTGACATTTTATCATTTCAAATAGTATGCAGTGTTTATTTTTAATATCTGTAGCAAGCTCTATGATCTAGTCGGCATCGGTCTTGGAATTTACACTTCAAGTCCTAATCAGCCACTAATTCTCATTCCCATCTTAATTCAGTTGATCAGTTCTATTAGCTGAGAATTAAATTACCACCTTCCAGAATATTGCAAATATAATAATTTCAGAAGTGGACAGAAAAAATTGAAATCAGTAGCTGCCCAAATCCCTTCAACCTCTAAAATTCTATTATTCAATAATTATTTTAGGCCTTTCAAAGAGCACAAACCATTCATTGTTCTAATATAAATACGTGTCATGGTAACAGTTACTTCATGTGACTTCAAGGGTCACAGGAAATTCTAAAGACTGATTCTTGGTTCTGAACTACAACAGATGACCCCCAGGGTTTCTTTCAGCCTTCACAATCTGCAAACTTCATTGGCAGGTAGAAACAATGATGTTTCCACCTGCAAATAAAAGAGCACTTCAGGATTATGAGCAGAGGTGCATTGGTGCCCTAGCAAGAATCAAACTCTGAACACCAAAGTGTTATGTCTGCAAATTAGCACAGTTGCAGAAGTTCAGAATTTTGTTCATCATCATACAAATGGCAAACACATTTAAGTGAAATGCGTCTCCAGAGAAAGATTCCTTTCTCTTATGTTGATGGCCATCTCTTTAAAATCTTATGCAGTCCCAGGTAGACATTTGTCCCTGACCCTTTGAGGTCAGAGTTTTATCAACCTCTTACTTTAGGTCAGTTCTTTGATTTTAAAGCATGTACTTATCATCTGTAAGTGACTGCCTATAGTTATTGTTTTACAGTTTAACTGCTATTCCAAGGGGCATGACCAGATTTCAGTGCAAGGTATTTATTGTTGCTGTGAGCAAGAAACATCTACCCTGCAAGGTTGGCGAGCAGACTGGTTAGAGGAAGGTTAAAATGAGACTGTACAAACCATTAACATCTTCTGAAGTCTTAAGAAGATTAAAAAAGGAAGTGTATTTTCAAAAGAGTGAATCTGTACCTGAATTCTTATGTGTACATTAATAGAAACTCTGGCCTAATACATGAATGTTGAATCTTTGATCTTGCAAACCATCGTCAAGAAAGATTTTGCAGCCCAAAAATATAAAAACACTAGCCCTGGTTGGTGTGGCTCAGTGGATTGAGTGCCATCCTGCAAACCAAAGGGTCACAGGTTCGATTCCCAGTCAGGGCACATGCCTGGGTTGCAGGCCAGGTCCCCAGTAGGGGGTGTGCAAGAGGCAACCACACATTGACGTTTCTCTCCTTTGCTCTCTCCTTCCCTTGCCC